TTGAATGAAAGAACCACCAAGTTTCCAAACTGATAAAATACACTTTTCTCAGTGAACCAAGGACTATAACAAAAGACCTCTGCCCCTATAACACTACTGGAACATCTGCACAATAATTCAATTAGTTTTGTTTCCAAACACCTTCTATAAAGAAGGATGTTACAATAATGTTGACAAGAAAAAAACCAAGCACTTTATCTTGACTAGATGCAGGTTTTCTATTTTCTGCCTAATTTCTCCCCATTTCTGTTCATTAAATGGGGTTTTCCTTATCTCTGGGGCAATTGTTTTATAAGGCCTCCCCATTTAACAGGCAACATCTGTAGCTGATTACATAACTCATGCTAAGCTTTAATGAAATGCATAAGCATACTTGGTCACAACAACTTATTTAACAATGATCAAGTTTTAATGAAAATGGGGATAAACTAAGCTCAAATACATAATCAATTTGGCAGTAACTTTGGTAATCATGCAAAAAATTGGGCTTTTTTTCAAATTTTTCACGACTTACAGGAAATTGAGAAGTGTCAGACTTGAGTCAATAATTGGTCATTTGAGCCAATTTAACGACTTTGATTTTGATGATGAAATCAAAAATATTTGTAGTGTGTTTGGTGCCTTAAAATGTTGCTACCCTTTAGGAGAACACGATGTTCTGAATAAGATGTTTGTCATGAATCGATTTGTCTTTTATATGTTACATTAACTATTCTAAAGCATTCAAAAATTCAAGCTTCAAAAATTTAAAAAAAAATTAAAAGAAAGGAGTACTAGTAACAAAATTTACGTTAACTCTGCATGTACTTGCATAACAATTATTACAATAATTAGTTTAATAAAAATTGCGGAAATACAACACTTAATTTTTACAGGCAGGTATATTACTACATATAAGGATATAAGGATGACTAGTTTTGCCTATAAAGGTCCTAAGAAAAAGGATTGGTTATATCCAGTAAAAAAGATAAACAGCTTGAAGTTAATTGTGATGCAAGAAAAGAATGCATTAAACAATATTGATGTCTCTTTGTGAATTTGTTTTACCCCTCCTAAGCGGATGGCAAACATGGCCTGGACCGAGGAAACACTATAATTAATTGCTAAATCTTGGGTAATATCTCATATATATTGATCTATTCTCGAAAGAAAAATGAATCATATTGCTTTTTTCCCCATAAATTTGGTAAAATCCTCCAAAATCAATCAACATATCTCTTGATAAAGTTGAGGGAAATTGCCAATCTCCAAGTAATATTCATCATACTGCCATATTAGGTAGCATCATGCCGTATGATTGATACTCATTGACTGTTCAATAAAAAGATAATTCAATTTTTCTGAGCCAGTAAAAAATGACTCTGTCAATATATGGTGATCTTCAAAATAAATGTACTTGTAGCACTATGCTTTAATTGATCGAGTGAAATCTCATAAGTAATGGTACGTTTAAAAATTTAATTTGATCAATCCAGTCAAAGGAAAATTCGTAAAAGGAGATCATAAGTAAAGTAACTTCATCAACTGAAAACTTTCAGACTGTCAACATTACGGGGTCATAAACCTGCCATGAATTCAGCTACTTACAGCAGCTAATCAAGTCTCTCAGCAACAAGGGAGACAACTCTACATGAGGAGGAGAGTTGCCTTTCCGTAGAAGAACCATCCCCAATCCCCCTTCCCAACAAAAAAATTATTAAAATAAAGATGTCTGGTCTTTCAGGTTGGCTGTAATTAGGGGGTTTAAAACATAGGTAATCAAAGATTACGAAGCTCACCTCGACGGATGTTATCTAAAAGTAAGGCAAATTTCACATCATATTTTTTTTCTAGTTAGGGAACATCCCAAGATCAATATCCTTGCAAGTTTGGTTTAAGTAGGACTTGTAGTTACTTGGAAATAGACCTGCTCAAAAAACTTTTAACCTATTTAGTAATCAAGAAAATTTTGGTCAGTTCTAACATCCAAAGAAAGTCTGGAAGTTTTCATCCTTAGATGCACCATCTATGCAAGTTTAATCATAACAGGCCATAATATTATATAGCTACACCAAAAAAATTACCCTGGTCACTCATCTGGATAATGTAGGTCAGATTCAGAATCCAAAGCAAGTCTGGTAGTGTCCATCCCTAGATACATCATCCATGCTAATTTGGTTAAGATATGGCTAAAATTCACTCATGTAGAAAATCTAGGTCAGATCCAGCATCTGAAGCAGGTTGGTTAGTGTCCATCCCTAGATGCATCATCCATGAAAGTTTGGTCAAGGTAGGGCTTATAGTTACTTGGGAACTCGACTGCTCCAAAATCTAAACCTTGTCTCACATGTGGAAAATCTAGCTCAGATTCAGCATCCGAAGCAAGTGTGGTAGTGACCATCCTTTGGATGCATCATCCATGCAAGTTTGGTCAAGGTAGGGCTTATACTTACCTGAGAACGGACCTGCACCTAAAACTTTAACCTGGTCACTCATCTGGAAAATCTAGGTCAGATCCAGCATCCGAAGTAAGTGTGGTAGTGTCCATCCCTAGATGCATCATCCATGCAGGATTGATCAAGGTAGGGCTTATAGTTACTTGGGAATGGACTTGCTTCTAAAACTTTAACCTGGTCACTCATCTGGAAAATCTAGGTCAAATCCAGCATCCGAAGCAAGTGTGATAGTGTCCATCCCTAGATGCATCATCCGTGCAAGTTTGATCAAGGTAGGGCTTATAGTTACTTGGGAATGGACCTGCTCCTAAAACTTTAACCTGGTCACTCATCTGGAAAATCTAGGTCAGATCCAGCATCCGAAGCAAGTGTGGTAGTGTCCATCCCTAGATGCATCATCCATGCAAGATTGATCAAGGTAGGGCTTATAGTTACTTGGGAATGGACCTGCTCCTAAAACTTTAACCTGGTCACTCATCTGGAAAATCTAGGTCAAATCCAGCATCCGAAGCAAGTGTGATAGTGTCCATCCCTAGATGCATCATCCGTGCAAGTTTGGTCAAGGTAGGGCTTATAGTTACTTGGGAATGGACCTGCTCCTAAAACTTCAACCTGGTCACTCATCTGGAAAATCTAGGTCAAATCCAGCATCCGAAGCAAGTGTGGTAGTGTCCATCCTTTGGATGCATCATCCATGCAAGTTTGGTCAAGGTAGGGCTTATACTTACCAGAGAACGGACCTGCACCAAAAACTTTAACCTGGTCACTCATTTGAAAAATCTAGGTCAGATCCAGCATCCGAAGCAAATGTGGTAGTGTCCATCCCTAGATGCATCATCCATATAAGTTTTGTCCAGGTAGGGCTTATAGTTACTTGGGAATGGACCTGCACCTAAAACTTTAACCTGGTCACTCATTTGAAAAATCTTGGTCAGATCCAGCATCTGAAACAAGTGTGGTAGTGTCCATCCCTAGATGCATCATCCATGCAAGTTTGGTCAAGGTAGGTCTTATAGTTACTTGGGAATGGACCTGCTCCAAAAACTTTAACCTGGTCACTCATCTGGAAAATCTAGGTCAGATCCAGCATCCAAAGCAAGTGTGGTAGTGTCCATCCCTAGATGCATCATCCATGCAAGTTTGGTCCAGGTTGGGCTAATAGTTACTTGGGAATGGGACTTGCTCCTAAAACTTTCACCGGGATGCCGACGCTAACGCTGACACTGACGCCGGGGGTATAGCATAAGCTCATCTCGACTTTGTCGAGGTGAGCTAAAAAACAAGTGAACTAAAAGAAAAGAATTTAAACAACATCAGTAGTCAAATAGCCTTTACAGAGCTATAGAATTATGACACTTTAAAAAAATGAAACTTTGGTTTTTTTGTTGTCCAGTAGCAGGCTACCTTATAAATTTTAGGCCACACACAAACAAATGTACTAGTAGCACTTAAAGATATTATTCAGTTAATTAAAAGAAAAAAAATACATGTAAAAAGTTTGATCATTTTCAAAAAAAATCTGAAATATATTAAAGGGGGAAAAATGCTAATTTATACAAAAGCAAAAAAAAAAGATAATTCCAAGAATCTGATTTTTGGGGGAAAAAAAGCTTTTATCACAATGACAACAACTATTCAATATATACAAACACTTAAATTCTGTATGTAAAGGTATACAACTATGACATGGTTGGGTGCTGAGGATAACTTACAGTTAGCAGGGTCCTGGATGAGACAGCTTGCTAAAGAAGCAGAGTAGTTGTCAATGGCAACACAAAACAAAATGGCTACCCATCTTAAAACAAGCAAACAAAATTTTCTGCAGAAGTCATATAAAAGGATACCTTTTACAGCATAATTAAAATAAATGGATGCTGATTAAGCTAATTTATCCAGATATTTCCCTAGCTATATCTATTTTTTTCTTTCATTATTGTTAAATGCATGTACATACAAATTTCCTGCAACTTCTCTTTAACGAAAAATTTCTTTGTGTCATATGGTTATAAACAAATGAAGAAATCAAAACAGGAATACACAAAATCATATAGTCTTGTGCTCACTATTGAGTTAAAGAAACAATATAACAGGACTTCTAATTAGGCAAATTAAAAGAACAGCTGAGTAAATTATGGCAGTCAGTTTTCAAAATGTAATTAATACAAATATTTAGTGTCAGATCTATATACTTGTTAACTGCTCATCACAGAAATATACAATCAAGGTCACTCTATATCAAGGTGGCTCCCTCAGAAAAAAAAATAGATTTACACACAGTTCGCTCTATAAACTTAGATGATTTTATAATTTCAACATATATAACATATCTTTGAGTCTCAAATTAAGATGAAGTAGATTGTTTAGGAAATCTACCTTCACCTTGAATGTGGTCAATGTTTTATCTCCATGTGTCACAAACTTACAGAGTTAATTTGAGGTACTTGTAAATTCTCAATATTTATATTATATAAGTATTACCCAACCAAAGGCACTGGAATTCCATGAGATATATTTTAGGTGTGCAATTAACATAAAAAAGGATAATTTACTCTTTAAAGTACTGACCAGCAAATGGACCCAGTTTGTCGTCTGTGACAATGTCATCCATACTACTGCTACTTCCTCTAGTGGAGGCTCTTCTCATCACCACTGGCTCCTCAGCTTCGTCTGCTGCCTTGGCAACAGGAACTTTGGAATTCTGGGTATCAGCAGAGTGGCCTTGACTCTCAGTCAACATATTTGCCTCTGTAATGGTTTCCATGTCTTTAGAAGACCTCTTGTTCTACAATATTACATGTGTATACATTAAATTTTAACACAGTGGTACAAGCAGTGTCAAAAACCCTCCTCTTGAAATAGTTTACTTCTTAATCAACCCTCAGGAAGTGGGTCATAAAGGCAAATAAAGACAAAAGGGAAGACACTTATTATAAAAGCTTTTGTGACCATCAAGATTGGCAAGAGGAAAAAAAAACAGAAATGTCCTTTAATACATTTGGTCATTTTACCTGTCAGCTGTTTACAAAATGCTGATTTACTTCCTGATTTTGTTGTGTAACCTATATACATATTTATCTCTTTAAAACACTTATCTCATACCTACCTTATTCATAACAGCTAGTATTTTAAATTCATCAAGTAAAGTTAATGTTTTAATAATTAATGCACTCATTTATGAACTATTAAGTGTTAATACTGAAATAATATGTATGTATGTTATATATCATCATAAATTAGCATATTAACATGTAAAAGATTTAATTATAATTAAATTATATATACAAAAACCTTGCAGTTCTTCCTTCATCCCCAAAAACTTTCATCTCCACAAAATTTTACACAGTCACAAGTTTAATTACTGTTATTCAATAGCAAATGAAACTAGCTGAAATGACATTGATATTTGTAAAGGGCAATAACTCTAATATCCAACATTATTTAACAAATACACGGGTTTAGTATCATTAATTTATAAATTAGAAACTGCATTACACAGTTATATGTAACATTACACATATCAGATATATAAATCATAATTTTGACAATGTTGACCAAAACTTAAATTGATATACTATATATGTTTTCTTGGCATGCTTCTAAAAATTTACAAACTACAAGGCATTCTAAACAGAACAAAACACCAAAGGACATGCATTTGGCATTAATACTGAGGCTACTTTAATTTACTTAAGTCCCATAATATCAACAAGTGTAAGTGGGTAATGGCTCCCACATACTCGTCCCAAGTCAACTTAAACCCACCCTGGATTAGGGAAACAAGTGCTATTTCACATCATTTACTAGACATTTCAATGTTAACATATAGTTTTGTATAGTAGTTTTGTGTAATAATTTTGTACAATAGTATGCAATATAAAGATAATACATGTATTCACATTCAGTGTTGTGTAAGGGGAGGTAATACATACAATACAGTGTACAGAGTAGGTGTAAGAAGCAATGTTCTCAGATATAATATATACCAGTACATGTGTTAGTAGCCTTTTAGTTAATGGATGGCCTTACCCATCTTCTTGGCTATTAAGGGTAGATACAGTGCATTACAATAAATGACTAAAAGATGAAAATGAAATGAACAAAAAATTCAGCTCTTGATGTAATAGCCAGAATGCAAGATAAGCACAATATATTCAAATACAGAGGCATTAAACAAGGAACTATTTTAAGACAGCTATAGAAGCGGACTTTGAAAATCTTTCATCAATTCAAAAGTAAGGGTCAACAATCAATATGGAATTTTTAATATGTGGCATCTTATTTTGGCGAGATAGTAATATTAATTTGTATTTATACAATATTTTCATGAGTTCTGGTGATTGTTCCACGTACATTATCCTTAAAAATTTTTGCGAGCAGTAAAAATCGGGATATTCGAGCAGTATAAGCCCATGGGCGCTTGGTTTCAGGAGGGTGTATTTTCTGTATTATGTGTTTTTCTGGGTGTGTCTGAATATACTCATTAAAATAAAAAGAAAAGTTTGCTGAAATAAGCACATTTTAAAAATATCACGAGTGTCGGGTGAGATCTAGCTTCAAAAATGATTAAAAACGCCCTTCAATCGTCTGCCGATTTGAACTTGCCATATAAAATATGCATTATGTGAAACTAAAAGCAATGAAAGTGAAGATTTCTACTATGTAAAATGTAGAGGCATCTCAGAATTACAGGAAAAGTCTAGAGAGAACAAGTTTGGTGCGGTTTCTGACCTCTCTAGACTTTCAGTGTAATTCAGGGATGCCTCTACATTTTACATATTCAGAAATAGTCACTTTCATTCCTTTTAGTTTCAGTGCTAGGTATCAAGGACGTTTTGGGTTTACTGCATGTTTTATACAGCAAGTTCAAATCAGCAGATGATTGAAGGGCGTTATTCAATAATTTTTGAAGCTAGATCTCACTCGACACCAGTAGAAAAAGTGTAGATATATTAACAGATTAAAATCAAGTTTGAACCGAGGCATCCCCTGAAATCCAAGTTGGCAATTGTCATACCTTCACTTTTTTTATATATAGTAATATACAGTAATATATATTTTTAATTTTTATTTTAATGAGTTTATTCAGATAGACCCAGAAAAACACAATACACAAAATACACCCTTCCGAAACCAAGCATCTATGATTGTGTCATGCAGGGAATTTTTTCTTAACACAGCGATGACTGTTTACAATAGGACAAATAAGAAAATTTCTTAAAAGTTTTTAGGTTATTTATTTGAAAAACTGAATTTTGGGTTTAACAGTTACTTTATTTTACCAACACGACCAATCGGTCTAGTTCTCGTATATTTTACATGACCGAACCAATCAATTACTAGACTGGGTCGGTCGGACAGGCCTTAGTGTAAAACCCTGCTGGGTTTATACAGATATGATCACTCACATTCTAACATCAACTGTTACAGTAGGTTAAATCATCAATTCTCTAGGTCAAAATCTAACATGGTAATCAAAACATCAAAGATTTGGAAGTTGACATCTGGAACAGTCAACATCAGGGTTAACTATGTTTCATTTTCCAAATAAAATGTCAAAGGTCATGGTCAATCCCTCATCATGACTGACCTAACTGAGCAATCACATGATATTCAGAATAGGTGACCCACAATAGAGTTTCTAAGTACATGTATTTCATTTATCTACTCAAAAACAATGGTGAACCTGAACACTACTGGTGGGATTAAAACCATCTTACTCTAAATCCCATACATGTATGTATGAAGTTTAGAGATAATAGATGTCATTCATAACAGAGGCAAACTACTGGTAGTTTTATTTACCAGGCAACCACAGTGATAATTCACATTGACTGACCTCTATGTGAAGTCAGGTGTTATTCAGAAAAGGTCAAATACAGGAGAGCTAAACGAATTGGCTAAACAAAACTGTTGAAGAAGATAGATGGACATACATCATGGACATACATCAGTCAATTTATACAGAAGTTGTTAATCCCTCCTAAAACTTGTAGTGCCAAGCAGATTTACCAATGCATGAAAAGTCTAAAATGATTTTCGGATGAAAAACAAGGTTACAGCTATTCTGTTCAGTACATTAAAGCATCTACTGCATATGTGAGCACAATGAAATAAATGCTGCATTATACATGTATTTGATGTTCTACATTATTATTTATGTCTAAAGCTAGATTAACTAAGGAACACAATTATAATTCATCTTTAAAGATGAAGATAAAGTATCTTTGACCCCCTAGAAAAGTTTGTGCTTTAGAAGAAATATGATAATTTCCTAAAATAGTTAAAATATTTCTATATGCTTCAAAATGATTTCCATAGGAACTGCTATATTTCTCATCCAGTCCTTTATACCCATGAAGTCTAAATGGGGAATCAATATTCACAAACCACAATATTTTAGTCTTTTGAGGGGGTACTATATTTAACAGAACCCCCACCTTTTAAATTGTTCTGTAAAAGTCTAAAGGGTGATCAAAATATGAAGACCATAATATTTTGAACCCTGGCTTTAGTATTTTATACGGGGTCTATTATTTTGCAGCAGAATTTTGAACTTGGGTTCAAAATGTCACAGGAATTAACATATAATGTGATATACATACTACATCTAAAATTATCAACCATAATCAAACACTTACATCAATAATGGCCATTTTTTCTTCAATGCCCACTAAAGCTGTGTGGGGTGAGGGGGGAGGGAAGTCAGGGGTGGGAGGTTGAGCATATCCAGTGGGGGTCAAGGGTATTCCTGTCATCCCTTTCTTCTTGCCCAATTCTAAGGACCCTGGTGGTTTCATCCCTTTAAAAATTTTACAGATACATGTATTAAATAAATACTCATAAATTTAAAATTGATTTTTTTCTGTTTGAAATTGACAAAAAAAAATCAAAATGGTTACAAGAAAAGTTTCACTTTATAAGTATCATCAATAGTTAACTTTGTAGCATACTTGATGAAGATTCTACCTATGATTGTTGATGATGAAAATCAAGCATAAAAAAAACCTTGTTTTGCATAGGTACGGTAATATACTGTACATTTACGAAATACTTTAATTTATAATGCAGTACCTTGTCCTTGTCCCTCTGTTGAATCACTAACCCCATTAGACAACCTCTCTGACTTATCCTTTGTGTGACGTAACACAGATTCAGCAAGGGTCACATATTCCCCACTGGTATTATCACAGACAGGTTCATCACAGTTATCCTGCTTTGAAGCACTAACCAATTTTTGTTTATCAGACCTCAATGAGGGCTTGGGAACAAGTGGGGGTTTAGGTCCCTTAGGGGAGACTGGTACTTTCGTTCCAGCTGGCAAATTTTTGTTGGCAGGTTTGCTACCAACAGCTGGCTTTTTAGGAATGTCTGATTTTGGTTTAGAACGACTTACTGGTTCCTCATATATCACATCCTGTTCACTGGAATCTTTTGGAATGTTACAGATTCTATCACAGTTGTTTACAGACTCAGCCTCTGAGGTTTCATTGTTTTCCTCATCAGCTTTTTTATTTGGTTCTCCTTCATTCTTTGGAATGTCACTTTTTGGTCCACTTTGAGCATTTGGAATGTTCTCAGATTTTGGCCCTGTCTGCATGAAAAGAGAGGCATCATAAGGATTTTCTTCTTCCTTTGTTACCTCCCCTGTGTTTTTGGTCTCAAAACCTTTGGAAACTGTCAATGGTATAAATCCTTTGGAATCTCTCATAGGCGTAAATCCTTGAGATTCTCTCACTTGTTCTGCAAACTTCACCTCTGACACAGAGGCACTGTTCTCATACTGAGTTCCTTCTTCTTCAGCTGTTCTTTCACTACCTCCCCTGGCTGTTACAACAGAGGCATTGTTTTCATACTGTGACCCTGCCTCCTCTTGAATTAAACCCAATGCCTTGCCAGATTTGTTGTGTCCTTCAGCATTTGAACCCCTGACCTCCATCCCCTCCTCTTGTATCCAAGCAGGACAAGGTGGAGGCAGATCATCTTTGTCCCTGAATTTAGCTATTTCTCCAGCAAACTGATAAGTATCTATCACATCTTTACGGTCCAATGACTCTCCTTTACCAACAATATTGGAGGCAATCTGGTAAGTGTCTATCACATCTTTCCGGTCCAGTGAACTTTTCCTTGTCACACCTGATGCTATTTGGTAAGTATCAATTACATCCATCCTCGCTAGAGATGAAGTTTTAGTGTGCACATCTATATCAGTTTGTTCTTTTGAATTTGGTTGTTTTACTTGTGACATAACTTCATACTCTGTTGTTGGTTCATTATCTGCAGCACTGTTATTTAAACTGACATCTAAGTTGGATTCAATAACATTTTTATCATTGTTTTCATCCAAATTCTTCACTTTTTCATCATTCAGTATTTCATCAACCTTCTTTGAATCCTTTAGATTATCACAAGGTGCAGGAACTTCTGCAGAGGAAGTGATGTCATGATCTTTTGATTTGATGGAAGGCTTAGTTAAATCACTTCCTGTATTTAAAACTTCACTGTCTGAAGCAAGTCGAGTTCTAGATGGTGGGGTATTTTCTTGCTTTTCTACACTTGATTCAGATGTATTACTTCTTTTTGGCAAAGGACTTAATGCTTTCTTTTTTCTGATAGGTTTCACTGGTCGATTGGGCTGAAATTGTATCAACAGAATCAAAATGAAAAATATTCAGTTTTCTGACATAATACGAATGTGTAATTAAATAACGAAGCAAATATATTATTGCCTGCAAATTTATATGTGGAAACAGCTTAACAACTTCAAAATAAAATTAGAATTTAGGTTTCAAATCAAGGATTTCACTAGAAGAAAATACAAAATACTGACCTTTGGACTCTGTACAGGGGAATCAGACATTGAAAAATATCCACCTAGAAATTCAATAACAATGTACATTTGGAATATGACAACAAATAGAAAAACAGGCACAGGGAGGCTATCATCTTAAATTTCATCTCCAATCATGTAGGATGAAAATCAAAGTATACATATACTTTTAAGACCTGCATAGTCTTTATATATATATATATATATATATATATATATATATATATATATATATATATATATATATATATATATATATATATATGGTTACAATAAGTTATATTAAACATCATACTTTATTCAACTAAACTTTTTTTAACTCAATTTTCATGGATTAATCTAGGGTATATTTACCACTGATATTCAGTATTTTTCCCCAAGAGAACATTTCCCCTGAATATCCCATTTTCCCCTTTTGATGAGTAAAAAATTCCCCTTACAACAATAAAACACTTAGATATTTTTTTTCCTTCATAAAAACTGGAAAATTTAAGTAAAAATTTTCATCAAATGTGAAAAATGGTTTTACTTTGCTATTTTATGCACTCTAAATGGTCATTAAAATGCTGAAATTCAATTGAGTCTCCCAACAGGGCTAGCCCTGCACCCACTGGGGGTCTAGAGTGGCCCCCATATCCCTAGCTGATTTTTCCCAATTTCTCCAGAAACGGTAGTTTCCCCCAAAACCTAGATTAATCCCTGATTTTAAGTTGAATACACATTGCTGCATCATTCAGAATGCTCATTTAAAAAGAATTCTATACAGTATCAGTTATTCAAATATTCATATATTATATTTTTTCATCATGGACATCTAATGACTATGTGATGTGTGTGTGTTCTGTTTGCATCATTTAATTTTTGAGAGTCTAGGTCAAGTATAAACATCCCAGATACTTCTCTAATACAGTATATGAATAAAATCTTGATATACAGTACATTCTTTTACAACTGTACCATATTCTCAACCAAAGCCCACCTGGTTGTATCTGTGTGGGTTCACATGGAGCTGGGGGGTGGTTAATAACACTGAGATTCTGTATACTGGCACCAGCCCTATACATCTTAGGGGACATCTTCTCAGGCAAGGCTGGAGCACCATACATGGAAACAGTCTGTCTGTCAGTGGAGCGTCTGGAGGGTTGGGGTCGTGTGGGGGTGGCGGTGGTGGAAGGGAGGGTAAAGGGAGGCTGGAATGGTTGGATATTTTGGAATGATACCATGGAATCTCGTTCTTTTGATACTTCCTCAATGGTCCTATTAAAAGAAGAAATAAAGTAAAAACATTATGTAGGCAAGACCATAGTTTGCATCAACTCAACTTTTGTGTCTAACTGGATTTTTAAACAAAAACCCAATTTGTCGTAATTCTCAGATAGGAAATCCTGAGAAGATTGGCCAAAATTCAAAGATGAATTTGATTCCACAATATACTACACATTTATAAAGATGGACAGATGTAGTGTACCATGTGAGACCATTGCAAAAGGATTGAATTTTGACTGGCAATCCAAAAGGCATCATATCTCTGTGTTGCTTGTGAAAGCAAAATCTAAATTACATGTACATTTTCCACAAAATAATATGGGTTAAACCAAGTAAAAAGTTTCATGTCAACTTACAACATACAGCAGAAAGACCGACGTATGAGACAAATCCATAAGAAAAGCTCATTTGAGATTTTATCACTAATATTTGACAAAGTATATGTATTCTGGAGTTTATTGTCCATCGACCTTCTGGCAAGAAGGATAACTCTCAATAGGGAAAATGACTATTCCTTTTATAAAATTTCTCGTTGAAAAAATCAATTTTAGTCAAATTTTGCGCCACAAGCTATGCAAAATTGTGAGCATTTCAATCAAAAATTTAAGATTTTTGTGGGAAAATTAATAAATTAAAGCATATTTTCATATGAATTATCACAGGTATGATGAAACTTAATCAGGTAAATTTTTATGAGTCAGCTGTTCAAATTAGCTTTACCTGTGTACAGGTGAGGTGTCACCCCCGTCAAATGTTGACTGTCTTGGAGGAACTGGTGGGGGTTCTTCTTGGAAAACAGCATTCACATCTTCACTGAAAGAATGAAAATTGGAATGACTATAAATCTTTGTTTGCATATGAATAATATGGTACTGGATAGCACTTTAGTTAGAGATTACTATTTCATTCAAGTACTTTTGCTTGCAGAACTCTGTGTGATTTAAATGGAATAGTTCATATAAAATTTAATTTATAGTACATAGGAATATAAGAACGAGATTCTAGTTTGAAAATATTACAAATCTACATTCACAACAAATCAAGATCATAGAAACACTAATGAGATTTACAAGAATCAGAAACAATAATGTTTATATAATTGGAACTACAGAATATAAACATTTTTTTTAACCATGCAATACAACTGCATGAGTTTTAAATATATAATTTAAACTGCAAAGTTCAAATTGTTCATGTAACTAGATCAGAATATTGTATCTTGACTTCTGGATACAAACCAGAATATGTCAACATTTACTATATACATGAATAAAAAAAACCTTGAATTTTCCACAATAGTAATCTTAGTACCAAAATTAATTTTGTAACATTTATTCACAGCTAAAAACAAATCCACACTTTTCAAAAGTTAGGTAACTTGTCCACCATCTTTCGGGAAAAACCACTAGAGTTTTCACAGAGCCTTTGTAATTTTCTGGTTTTAAGGGAGCCGACTGGGGTTTTATTGTGTGAAAACTACTATAGAGAAACTCTTTAATTTTATACCATATGTACCTTACATTGACTTCGGTATATATGCCAAGTTTAGTGAAAATCTACCGTCTGGTTATTTTTTAGGGACCATTTCAATATACAGGTACATTTACTATAGGATTATATAGGAAAATACCATTTTTTTCACACCTTGAAGCAAATTATACAAATGCTACTATAGACTTTTTGCTCAAATTATACTATTTGATGGGTAATACTATATTATACATTTTGTGCATGAAACACAAAATTCTACCGTCTGGTTTCCAGAGGGAGCATCTCAAAATGTCAAAATTCATGATATTTTCCTGTTTTTATGGAGTACAACAAAACATGTCAGATACCACAGATTTACACAAAAAATAATAAAAATGATTGCTAGATTCTCAATTTCCTATGTTTAAAATTTCAAGACCATGTATTTTATACTTTTTATTTTATGGCATAATTAATGACCCCACTTAAAGAACTTCGGTTATTCATAACGTCAAAAACACACTATTACGACGTCTCTATACCCATTATTTGAAAAATCGTTCAAAAAATCAGTTATTTAAAAACGTAATTAGATTTTTTAATCTTAGATTTCCTAAATTTGTTAATTTTTATAAATCATGTAAAAATAGTTGCTTTAAAAGAGTAAATACGCTTTGTTTTACTATGCTGCGCGAAGTATTGCGCAATGAAAACCCCAGTCGGCCCGCTTAAGCAGCTTTGTTATTTGACATAAAATATCATTTGCATCTTGTGTTTCATTTGCCCAAGGATGGGGCTACCATAACATAGAAAGATTTTTTAGCACACCTAAAAGTTTTGCAGCACACAGAAGAGGAACTTTTTTTCCCCTTTTGACCTTTTGTTTGACCCTGCAAAAGGAAAACTAACCAGAAGTCTCTGATGAGACTGTAGCTCTACTGGTCTGTACGTATAACAAAGGAAAAGTAGCACTTGGATTTGAAACTTTGCAACATGCAAATTGAATTATGTATCTTAATGTAGTCTACTTCTGTGCTTAGTTATATTGAAATCAAACGAAAACTGTTGGAGGAGTAGCGTTTTGAAAGTATTTCACAGAAATTTCTATTTTTAGTAACAAAGACAACACCATTCACTGAAATCAAAAACCGATATACACTGTATATGTTATGTATCCTAGTGTATTCTAATTGTGTGCCAAATTCGATTGAAATCAGACCAAAACTGTAGGAAGAGTAGTGTTTTAAAGGAATTTCATAGAAATTTCTATTTTCAGTAACCATGGCAACACCGTACATCGAAATCAAAAACCGATGCACTAAATTATGTATCTTATTATAGTCTTCTTGTATGCCAAATTATATTAAAAGCAGACTAAAACTGTAGCAGGAGTAGCATTTTAAAGAAATTTAGTAAAAATTCCTATTTTTAGTAACCATGGCAACACCGTTCATCAAAATCAAAAACTGATGCACTAAATTATGTATCATTGTACTGTCTACTTGTGTGCTAAGTTATATTAAAATCAGACCAATACTCTAAGAGGGGTAGTGTTTTTAAGGAATTTCACAGAAATTTCTATTTTTAGTAACCATGGCAACACCGTATATTGAAATCAAAAACTGATGCACTAAATTATGTTTCTTAGTGTAGTCTACTTGTGTGCCAAGTTATATTGAAATCAGACTAAAACTGTAGGAGGAGTAACATTTTGAAAAATTGTTTACAGACAGACGGACAGCTAGACAGACGGACGGACGGACGACGAACACCTTACTATCGCATAAGCTCTTTTGGTCTTTTTTGCACAGTGTGGACTGAACTATAACTTACTGGTAATTATCATCATGTTTTCAATTTTCGGCTATGTTCAACTTACAAACACTTGGAATTGTTTGTTAGATGGACGCTTGTCACACATGAAGGATCAAGGATTCATTTTCTCTACTCTTCATTAGAATTTCATATCATTTTGACTTCACATGATTTAAACTGATAATTATTGTTGTAAAATCCTCTTTCATAATTGAATCTTAAACATTCTTAATGTCAAGGAAATATTAACAGCTTGGGTATATATTACTCAAAAATATAATAAAATATTATCAAAATTCATTATATGTGTTTAATTATAAACCCAACATTTATACAATATCACAGTAAATATATTATGTAGAAAAAAATCTACAAATGAAATTCAACAATTAATTCTCTGATCGCTAAGGTGTAAATGGATTTAGGATTCAAGAAAGCCCAAAACACAATCCATTAAAGACATATTCTAATTTTCTGTCTGTAAAAATATGTTTTTATTTTTTTTTATTTTTTTAGTTTGTTTTTATATTTGATATTGTTCAACTAGCTTTGCTGAAATAAAATAAGAACATGGCCACCACAAAGTGGAGCATTCCCTCGCATAAAATATATTTAATATAAATCAAGGCAGCATTCGATATCAATCCTGAAGTGAACTATGTCACTTTCATTACGCACACAAGGATAAACTAACCTACTCATCCACACACTCATAAGCGTGTAACTATATCCCCTCCAACTTCGTTGCGAAGGAATAAAAATTTGGAATTTAATTTTCTTCTTTTCAGTGATGATGTTATGTACTGTTGTTACAACAATCCAACAGTATAAACAGATTGTCAAAGCATAAGCATTCTGTTCACTTACAAAGCCTTTGTGAAGTTATGATCACAATTTAATACAAATGATTTATAGTCATTTATATCACTTACAGTTGAATAGAAAAGGAATTTCTAAAACCAGGAAGTTCAAATGAATTGACATTGTATGTAATTAATGTATCATTATTTGCTAAGAAATATTAAATTTCAAGTCTCAACTAATATATTTTGACACTCCGGAAAGGAGATACCATGATTTTTTTTTGAATAGATCCAATACTGTTGAAATACTTAGTTTTCTATTTCAGTAACATGATAAAATTTAATCCAAAATTAATGTTTGTAACATTTTAAATTAAAAAAAATATTTAATACTTTCACATAGCTTCATTTATATGAAGTGTAAATCTCCTCAAAATGAAATTGCCATTGTTACACACAAACCTTGAATGGGCATTTCCAGGTTGACTTTTGTCAATCCTTGCATACTGAACTGAAGCTTCACTAGTTCTACACATGGGGGGACTTTTCCTCTCTGTTTCTGGGGAACTGCTTACAGATGGGCGGGGCTTAGGGACAGGTTTAGGGGTGTGATCCACTAATGTTTCATACACTTTGGCCTCTAGACTTTCTTGTGAATTTTTATTAAGATGATCTGCAAAAAAAGCATATACATAAAATACTTCATAAAATTACACACTTCCAATCTGTTTGTGATAATAAATTTCAGAAAAGACAAATTTGGTCAAAAGTCATATAATATTTTTTTTAAATTGAAGTAATACATGTAGAGCACAGAACATTCTGATTATTTGTGTATGGCACCTGATTTAAACTGATGATTATCCTACAAAAGACCTTGAAACATTGGTTGGCAAAGACTTTAACATTTTTATGTGGGTTGGACATGGTGAGTTTTTTTTTCCATGGGGAATAGTTCACCCTTCTTTCAGTAGTGGTTGGGTTCAGGTTCACTGCCCCTTCCATCAGTGTTAATTGCACTGGCATGGATCCCCCAACACAAAATTAAAAGATAGGGTTCTAAAAGATTTCATCATTTGTACATGATTAAAGCTACATAAACAATTTACCTGTAATCAAGGAGATTATCTCCAAATAAGAAGACTGATTCTTTTGTTCTTGAAGAATTTCTAACACTGTTTTCCCATCCTTGTCTCGCTCAGTGCAGTCTATACCTATAAGGGAGAAAAGATAAAAGATACCAGGTTGTACAAATAATTCTGTTTCTACAAAATAAGCCCTACACACTGGAACTGCTTAAACAATCTTGGTTTTGAGTAATCATTTATGTTTTAAATGCATTCTTTTCAGAATTTCTATGCAATTAGTGATACATACCTCTATCAAGCAAGATTCTGACAATGTCAGGCTTACAGTACAGGGCTGCTAAATGTAAGGCAGTGCCATCCTCTGTCTACAAAAGGGTAAAAATAGTCAATGTGGAATTTGTTAAAATTAATGTGAATAAAGTGTTAAAATTTCAAAACTCAAAAATAATTTAGAACTAATTAACACTTCAATGAAATGAAATGCAAATCAACCAAACTTCGGTAAGTCTGAGTCCTGTTATTATTATAGATCTGCTAATATAATAATTCCTACTGACAAATTATCATATTATCAGGCCTTTGTTGTTAAAGGTACAAGAGAATTTGTGCTTGCGCAAGGATAACTTCTGAATAGTACATATTAAGGAATATTCAGCAAGAAACATTTTCTATCAGTTGACTAGCTTGGGTACTATTTCTGACAGCCAAAAAATGTCTCTATCCTTTCACATGAGACATAATGAATTTTACATTTAGAGTGGTTGTGGGTATTAACTTACAGCTTGGGTTATCTGATTAACTAATGACAGTGATACTTGTATCACCGTCATACTACTAAAATGTGAGTTAAAATTTCTTCTGTTTAGCATTAAAGTTGTGTTCAGTGTTCTACTTAAAAAAAAGGAACACAAGACTATCAGTCACATGATTTGTTTTTTTAAATCTTTCACGTATAAATCAGGATAAGTATTAGAAATTAAACACTGGCTCAGTTTATATATATGTTTAATATCATACCTGATGCCATAGTAAACTAGTAAACTGTGATTATATTTGTATGTAAGTTGACAAAAACTGTTTTTCATGACTTAAATGTTCATTTATTTTTGGAACAGTACTTGTCATTATTGGTATTTGTGCAATGCTTATGTGCAACGACGTCATTAATATACAACTGTATGATATGTTGAAAATTCTTACCTTAAACATCTAAACCACATGTACAAGAACATTCAGTATATATATCTCATCAGAAGAGTTAAATGCCTAAGTGTTTTACAATTCTACTACATATGTACTGCAATTCTGACTTTTGTGCCAAAGATATTATACTGAAAATCTCATCATAATCAAATACATCTTATAGATGAAACCTACAAAACCCAAAAATGTCCAAACCTAAAAGGGTAAGAAAAGATATGCGTTTTTACCATTGTATTTATGTTAAATCCTTTGTCCAACAAAATCTCCACTATCTGCTTGTGTCCACATGCCACGGCCAGATGAAGTGGAGAGTGGATAAAGGTTGGACTGTGGACAAGGTCTGGACACTTGTCTATCAGGAGCTGCACCACCTCCACTCTACCATAACGAGCTGCAAGGTCAAGAGGTGACTCATCCTTCAGGTTCCGGATGGTGGGATCTGAGTGATGTTCCAGAAGGATGCTGACAGTTGGAGTGAAGCCATATTGTGCTGCACTGTGGAGTGGGGTTTCTCCATCACAGTTCTACAATAATTTATTGTCAAACTTCATCATTATCTGATGCATTTTTTAAATGCAATAATATATATATTTAGGACTAGTTACGCTTCATCCTACACTTAGGTAAAGGCATTCATTCAGTCAATTTTGTATTTTATTTTGTGAAGTTCTACTCTCAAAACAAAGACAAACTTAAGAAGAATTGCCTGACAAATCTCTATATCAGTATGGATGTAACGACTTAATCCTATCTCAAATCCTTGCAAGATAAATGTTCAAGTCCTTGAATACAGAAATCATCATTAAAATCAGAATTCATATCTACTCCTTCAACAAACACCTCCGAAATAGTTTTTTTTTTTTTGTGAATATGGTAAAGTTAACTAACTTGAAGTGCAGTCTTAATGTGATTAGACTGGTACTGTACAAACACAGGTGTGTAATCTTTTGCCTAATACAAAAAAACAAACTAATAGAGGGGGTCACGTAACCCAGTCTAATGAAATGGACTTACATGTAAACATTACATACTTACATGTAAACTGACCTGGTTTTGTTTTTATACATGAATTTTGGGATTTTATTTCACTTTAAGCTAACATGGACTTGAAAGTTCAAGAGTCTTGAGGATTTGGACTGACAGACAGGGGTATACATGAATCTTGCAATTTTATCTACCTATATCTGATTTTGTGCCTGTTCATAAATTTTGAAATCTTACTGACATTAACATACAGTAAGTTAACCTGAACTGAATCAGAGTGTACATGAATTTTACGTTTACCTGTAAGTTGACTTGAGCTTGTGAGTGAGGATTTGTTAGCAATGTTATGTTTACTTGTAAGTTGACTTGAGCTTGTGAGTGAGGATTTGTTAGCAATATGTTACATTTACCTGTAAGTTGTCTTGGGCTTGTGAGTGAGGATTTGTTAGCAATATGTTATGTTTACCTGTAAGTTGACTTGGGCTTGTGAGTGAGGATTTGTTAGCAATGTTATGTTTACCTGTAAGTTGACTTGAGCTTGTGAGTGAGGATTTTATATTTACCTGTAAGTTGACTTAAACTTGTGAGTGAGGATTTATTAGCAATATGTTATGTTTACCTGTAAGTTGACTTGAGCTTGTGAGTGAGGATTTGTTAGCAATATATTGCAGATTTCCACATTCCCTTTCCACGCTGCTAGGTGGAGCGGGTTACATCCACGGTTGTCTACAACATTTACTGAGGCGTTCTCTCGCAGCAGAATCTCAACAGCCCCTCTGTAAAAAATTTGGAAGTATTTCAACATGGAATACAGTAGCATTTCCTGCATTACAGTACATGTATATGTTATTTATTTATTTATTTATTTTTACTGTATCTTTACATACAGTGAAGTTCTGTGGAATAGTCTAATTTCCACAAGTTTTCCAGATCAACTAGCAATACCCTTGAAATGTAAAAGCTTGGTTTCCAGTAAATTGCTCAATAATTCTCTCCTCTCTCTCTCTCTCTCTCTCTCTCTCTCTCTCTCTCAAAATACAGATATGACTATTGTGTTCCAGAGAGGAATCAGTCTTTTTCTGTCATGCACATACACTCATCACTGTGCTTGAATCTGTAATTTAGTTCTGACACAAACCCTGATTGAAGTCAGAATTTGCTGAATAAGAAGAAGGTGAAAATAGCATCTTAGCCAACACAAATTGATTTTCTTTAAACATACAGCATTCCTAATTGGTTTCCACAAAAAATCCAATAAGGAAAGACTTAAGAACTCTTAACAGAAGATGGTCAATTTGCAGTGTGAATGAAAGTGTTCTCTTAAAGAATCATACAAAACAATCCCCCAAAAATATGTCATCAAAACTTGCGTGGGTAAAAACATAGACTTAATCTCTATGCCTCGGAGATATTTATTTCACGTTTATCATTAAAGTGCAAAAATATCGTATCGATATAATGTTGTACCAGACCACCATTTCCTTACTAGATCCTAAATGTCAGACTTAATGTCATCAAAATCATCCTGAAGCTTTAATATTTTATCAGTCTGAAAGAAATTTAGTCTTTTCACACCATGTAAACCAAACACTGAATGGGCCTAAAAACCAACAAATTTATGGAAACTCCAATCTTTGATGCAATGACAGAAGCTAAACTGTAGCAGTTTTTCCAACTAATCACCTGTAAGTGCATTAAATTACACAGTACATACAGGAAGTTCTTAAGGACTTTCCCCCTAGGCAGGTACACAGAGTTAAATTATTAAGGTAGTAATATTTTGCATTATAAATATAATCACCTTTATACTGCTACATATTCTGGGTTATTATATACTGCTTTCTGGTGTACAAATATTACAAATTCTGGTAAAAATTTCCATATTTTAACCAATTAACCCAAAGGCATGTAGTATAAACAGGAAGGGACGGAGGCTGCCGCCATCACTTTTTCTCAAGAATAATCTTTTACTATTTAAAATAGGTATGGAAATTGTCATACAAGGGTGGTCATGCTGAATGTAATGCTAATCTAGTAATTTTTTGTTGTTGTTGGAACTTACATATGCCCCCCCCCCCTTCATCTCCAATGTTCTGGAGATAGCTAGGTCAGTCTTTCATTATTGCACACTGCACACTGTAGTTCCCATTCTCCAATATATGTTTTGTATTGATAAACTTTAACTGATCTATAATGGTGTTGAATCTTATAAATAATTGTATTTTTATCGTGGTTTTTTTTTTGGGGGGGGGGGGGGGGGAATATTATAAATCCATTATTTTTACAATATAATCTACATTTGCTAGCTATATTATGAAATTTCTATAAACCCAATTATATGGAGGTAATAAAAAAATAAATCAAACTTCCATGTCCATTTTCTGTTGCTCTGATTTTTTTCCCTATCACGATCATGTATTACAGAATAATTAGGAATTAGGAAGTGTTTCTATAATTATATTTCCTAGAGGTGCACAATGTCTTTTCACCTGCATTCACCCTACAATTATTCATGTCTTCTTCCCTATTATATCAATTAATACAGATATACATAATACTTAAATTCATTAAAGGGTACTTACTCATTAGAAAGACAATCGTTTTAAATCATGCACCCCCAGGAAATTAACCGTACGAGTACGACAGTGCAAACCAGTATGAAAATCATAAACATGTTTTGGAAATGGTGGATTGTACAGAGTTATCTATAAAAGATATCTGTTCTTATGTGTAATGTTTTGCCTTATATAGTTTTCACACAACACGTTTTCAATATTCTAATTGCAATAAGATATGAAAATTGGAGCTGGAAGATTAACACATTTCTTCTTAATTAATTCATAATTAAAAACTAGTTACACAAAAAGATTGTCTGGTATGAACAATTAAGTGAATCATATTTAGTTTGCTATTTGATATAGGCATCAAGCAAATTTTCTACAATGTTAACCGAAAGCCTCATGCATACAGATACCTCTGTCTGACACTACATTGGTTACACTTATTATGTTACAAACTTACAGCCATGCAGGCCCAAGTATTTGAACCCTGGCCCTAGGGCTCGCGAATATCACAGTCTAGTAGAGGATTTCGTTCATTTTCAAGCAACTAATTTTGCTGGCTGAAAGTTTCTAAAGCATACACAAGTAAAATATGAAAGCCTTAGCACCAACTGTTCAAAAATTATGGTTGAAGTTTTTCAGACCTAGGTCATACTCCAAAGTTAAAGTCAAAGGGTCAAAAAACGTTCACTCCGAAAGAGAGGACTTCTCACAAGGAATGATGGAATACAAGTTATGGCAAAAGTTAATTTTTTTTCAAAAATATAGTTTTTGGCCTAGGTAAATAAATAGTGTGTTTCTGGTTCCCCGACCGACCCTAAAATATATGAGCCTACCCTAAAAAATTTATTAGCAGATATCTTTCCAGGAATAAACTATTCCAGTTTCACTATTAGAAATCCTAATCTTGATCACTTCCGTGTTTCAGAAAATGCATATTCTATACACATTAATCAAAAATGTTTTGACAGCAATTTTCACTGGGAAAAATGGTACAGTGCTTGCCAATAAAATATTAAAATAAAATACAGGTGACTCTCGATCTCTCGAAGTTCAAGGGACCGCAAGAAAAGTTCGAGAGATCGAGGGGTTCGAGAGACAGAAAGTGAATAAAATCCGCAATTTTCAGTTCCGATCATCATTGTTCTACTATTATAAATACCGGAAGTATATGTAGATAATGTCATTGGATTTTTCATTCGTATTTTACAGGTAATTCACTTGATTTCAACAACAATGATCGTATTTTGAATAAATAAAACGATCTCTTTAAGTTTCAGTATTTATTTGTTCTCATTTCATAATTACATGAAACCTGAATAGCAATCGTCGGCGTGGCTACCTCCAGGGCTTCACCGGGTCCTTCAACAGATTTCTCGTATTAAATGGGTATTCAGTTCTTCAGATAGGATTTCTTGTGCAGTGTTTGTCATACTGGGATTATGTAAACTCTAATAAAACTTCATAATCTATGAAAAATTATTGACAGGTCTCTTTAATTATTTTCTAAAAATTATCGTCTCGCTCTCAAGTCAAAATAAGTTGTGAAGCAATTCGCTTATAGTTTACCAATTGTAACCAATTAATTATATCAACACTCGGATGCTCACAGGTATAGTGTCATCTATGTAAACACCCAATTAACACCTCCATGCCAGCCCGAAGCAATCACTGTTATCCAGGTAAGTCTAAGCTGCATTGATTTTACGCTTGATCGGCGTGTGCACACGCGCAATCAAAACTTCAAGAGAAAGAGAGTAAAAAACAATGAAATGTGTGTAACGGGACCCAGGTCTTGGTTCGAGAGATAGAGAACTTCGAGAGGTCAGAAGTTCGAGAGATAGGAAGTAAATTTGCTTAGTTATATAGAAGAAAAAAACGGGACCGGAGGTTCACTTCGAGAGATCGAGAACTTCGAGAGATCGGAGTTCGAGCCATCGAGAGTCACCTGTAATATGTTTTCCCTACCCACCTACCTACCCTATTTTTTCTCAGGTTGGAATAGGAAACACACTATTTATTTATCTTGGCCTTAACTCCAGCATCAAGGTAAAGAGGTCAAAAATGTTTGCAAAGAAAGGTCTATACACATGTGAAATATGAAAGCCCTAGCAGTCAAAAGTTATAGGCAAGGTTATGAAGCTTTTGCAGGCAAACAGATGACAAAAGGAAAGACCAAGAACTATATGTCCAGGCCAAATCCTTTGATTAGAGCCTGCCTAGGGCATAAAAATTATTATGGTTCTTTAAAGACATCAAACACCCACATATAATGTTAACAGTGCAATATACATGTGTCCTTGACCCCATGGCAAGCATAAATAACCACTTTTAAAGTATGTACTTTACACTTATGACTTTTTTTCACAAATTTCTTTGGCTTCCAAAAAAATTAATCATTTTTTACACATTTCTGAATGCTTTTATAATTTTTTTTTAAAGAATTTTCATTTCCTTTAACAACTTGTAACATCCTAAAAAGTCCCAGAGTAACCAAGAGTTCAAGTCCATAGAATGTTGTATGTAACACGTACTAGTGGGTTAGTAAAATAATTTTAAAAGACGGTAATGGATCAATTAAGATATGCAAATAAAAATCAAACTTATCTGTAAAAGCTGCTTATAAGTACAACTGTGTATACTTAAAAACATCTTTATTGTACCTTTCTGCATTAAGTGGGGAAACTTAATGTAACATTCTTTCGCATTCAGTGAAAGAATTTTTTTCCAAAATAAACATGATAAAGATCATTTAGAGTGTTTAAATCCGGTGACATGTAAACAATATTTAGATAGAGACATAAAAAGGAAACCAGGACATATTAAGACTTTCTACTTAAAAAAAAATCAAATATAAACTGAATAAGCAGACTCTGCAAATAATGTCAAATTTTGAACAGACTATTACCCGTTACATTGTACTAAGATCTTCTTTCCTTTTGCACAAAAATGTTTTCCTTATTTAGTAGTATTCTAAGCTAGAAATATGTCCATAGGACATGAATGCCCCGCCCTACGTACATTGGTTTCGATAGTAAACTAGAAGTCTCTGCCGAGACTATAGCTCTATAACTTATCACAAAGGAAGAGAAAAGTAACACTTGGACTTGAAACTTTGCAACAGCAATAAATAGAATGATGATCCTTGATTTAGTCTCTATTTGTGGCAAGACTGCAATCAGATTAAACCGTAGAGGGAGTAGCCTTAAAAAAGA